GCTGTTTACGGTTTAGGGTTTAGGGGGTTTGGGTTTAGGGTTTAGGGGTTAGGGGGCTGTTTACGGCGTAGGGTTTAGGGGTTTAGGTTTTAGGGATTTGGGGTTTAGGGGTTTGGGGTTAGGGCTGTTTGCGGTTTAGGGTTTAGGGGTTTAGGTTTTAGGGATTTGGGGTTTAGGGGTTAGGGGTTAGGGCTATTTACGGTTTAGGGTTTAGGGGGTTCGGGTTTAGGGGTTTGGGGTCTTCGGGGTTAGTGTCTAGGGTTGTTCCATGTAGCCCAGGGGCCGGAATCAGACTAGTTCCTTCATGAGGCTACCTCCCCAACCCGCAGGAACCCATCTAATCCTTCAAACCCTGACATTAAAGTTTAGGTTTAGTTTTAGGGTTTAGGGTTTAGGGTTTAGGGTAGGGGTTATAAGGTTTAGGCTTGTTGGGAATATTCCTTGCAGGTTTCACGAGACTTGTGTAGCACAGAGCCTGTGCTTTAGTGATGTGGACCTGCATGCCTACCCTCAACACGAAACCTCCTAAGCCCTGGACCCCAAACCCGGAAAACCGATACCCCTGAACCCTAAATCCTAAACCCTGTGGAACCCTTACAGTAACCCCCTTTATAAGGAACCTTGAACCCTGTGAAAAGCCGAAGGAAGGCAGAACAGTGGAGAATAGCTTTGCAGCTCTTTGACTCGATCTCCCAGTCGCATCTCATTCCAGATGTTGCGACTGGAACGCCCTTAGCAGGACTTTGGGGCTTTGGGTTTACGGTTTAGGGTCTCGGCTCTAGAGATTCTTTGGGGCTGAGGCGTTCTAGGGTCCAGAGTTTGTGATTTTAGTTTTTGGTTTTGGGTGTTGAGGCGGAGATATGGGGGGTGGCAGATCCGGGTGCAACCTTTAATTGGTCCGGCAAGCTGTGTCTGACGAAGAGTAGCTGCAAGCTCGTGGAGTGCCTAACTAAACCCCTAAACCTCCAAAATATGGAAGTAACCCTAAACCCTGAACCCGAAACCCTAGACCCCAAGACCGGAGTCAGGTAAGCTTTAGTGATGCCATGGGGTCCTGCCACAAGTCCACGCAGTGGCAGCGAGCTCCTTGGACGTCATCGAAACCGGGACTCTGGTTCTGAATTTGTTGAGTTATTTCCTTAGGGTTTAGGGTTTAGGGTTTAGGGTTTAGACTTAAGCCGTATACCGTAAATTTTAACACTTGTTATCCTCAGAATTGACGTCGGGGTTTTAATGATATAAATCGGGGCTCTGGAAGCCCCAATCCCTTTCGAAGGTAGGGTTTCTAGATTAGGAATTACTGCTATGATCTAGGTAAGTATCCCCCATAAGAGTACCTAGGACTCTTTGGGATAGTATCCTAGGAAAAACCGTTATAGTAACCCTGGTAGAAACCCTTGAAGGATCCCTTACAGGCACCCTTTGGGGGTATTGGTTTCGGATTTACGGGTAGCTTAGGCTTCGGGTTGACGAGATCCGGGCTGAAGACCCTAATCAACGCTAAGGGGTCCATGTGCCCAGGGTTCCTTCCGGGGGCTCCCTGGCCACCACTTTGAGGGATTTTTTATTTTTTGTGCTGGGGGTTCGCGGTCGCCGTCGTTATCATATAATGCAGCTCAGGGCTCAGAACTTCCAATTTCCGACCCCCCTCCCCCCCCAACCCAACACTCCACCCTAAACCCTGCT